GGAGAAACAATTAGTGAAATTGATATGATAGAAAAGACGTTCTCAATTTTTTATGCCACGAATGTGCTCCTGTAGCAACAATATCGAGAGAAAGGTTTCAGAAAGTATTCTGAAATAATTTTTCATCTTCTAGTGGCTGAGCAAAATAATGATTTATTAATGAAAAATCATGAGAATCGGCCTACTGGATCTGAAGCACTTTCTGAAGTGAATGAGGCACCATACAAGGCGTGGAAAAAGTGGTGGCCCTAATCATGACTGTGGACGTGGACATGGATGGGGACATTGTCATGAGTATGGTCAAGAACGAAATTCTTTTCCTGGTGTTAATCATTCATCAAATACAAATCACCATCAAAAGGAAAACAGAAAGGATGAGAATTGTGAAACAACTAGGCAGGTTATTTTGGATGTGGTAGAAGAGGTCATTATGCATGTGATTGTTGTACTCTGAAACACTTGGTTAAGCTTTATCAAGAATCGCTACAGAAGAAAGAAAAATCTTGAAGCAAATTTCTTCTCACTTGGATGTAGCAGATTTCTTCGCACATCCTCAAGGAAAGATAGATCACTTGATTGGTGATGGTTTTGTGGCCATGGACGAGTGAACACTTTATGTTTTTTAGTAGTTATTAAATCAAATATATAAAGATACTTGTTTACACGAGTTTTTTTTTATTAGTTAGCATTAACTAGTTTTATAATTCATTATTGAATTGAATTTGGATTTGATTTTGGCTTAGTTAAATAATATTTTTTATATTTTATTTGCTTGTTGGAAAAAGACAAAAAACTAAATTTAAATAATGTCATTGATTAGACGTACATTTTATTTGTATTTTAATCTCGGATATTGGAGTTGATTTTTATATTTGGAAAAGTTATGGAGGAATGTTTTTTTTAGGCCAAACACCAAACCCTATTATGTGTTTATATTAAACTAGGATTTAAATTGGTCTAGTGAATAAATAATACAATTACTATTAGTTTGTATTCTAATAGGTTTTGTATATTTTATTTTTCCCCTACGAATGCTAGTTGAAATTTTTGAGTGTATTAAGTATATCAAAAATAGTATACTGAAAATTTATTGAATATCTAGTTATTTATTGTACACTACTTAATGGGTTTTTCTTACTTGCAAAATCAAGTAACGTAACACAAGTTATTTTTATAAGCACGAAAAAAATACATTGGTATATTATGTGCATGTGTTTATTACTTTATTAGTTACATAATAGAAGATAGTTAATATTTTATAATACGATCTTATTTTTACTTTGTAATAAAGTCTTAATAGATATTTATTTCATTTTATTTGAAGATATGGACAATTTTGAAAGCATGTTACCTAAATATGAAAACATTTGCTTGATTGATTTTGGTACAACACATACGATATTAAAAAATGAGAAATATTTCTCTCATTTAAGTATGAGCAAAATAAATGTTACTACAATTTTTGGTAGTACTAATATGATTGAGGGCTTTGGAAGAGCCATTGTAATTTTGTCTAAGGGAACTAAACTAATCATAAATAATGCGATGTTTTCTCCCAAATCTCGGAGAAACTTGTTGAGTTTTGAAAATATCCGTGAAATGGTTATAATATCCATTCAATGGATGAAATAAATCTTCAATATCTTGGTATCACCAAGAATGTCTTTGGGCAGACATGTGTTATAGAACATTTCCTTCCTTTATCTTCTGGCTTGTATTGGACAAAAATTAATGCAATTGAGGCAAATGCTAAAGTAAATAAGAAATTTACTGATTCTAATACTTGTATACTTTGGCATGATCGTCTGGGACATCCTCGGTCTTTAATGGTGAGACGAATTATAGAAAATTCAAATGGATATCCACTAAAGGACCTAAAAATTCTTTTAAATGGTGATTTTCTTGAACTGCTTGTTATCAAGGCAACTAAATTGTGAAACCATCACCAACAAAAGTTGATATTGAGTCCCCGGCATTCTTGGAACGTATACATGGGTATATTTTTGGACCTATTCACCTACCTAGTGGGTCATTTAGATATTTTATGGTCCTAATAGTTGCCTCTTCTACATGATCTCATGTGTGCCTATTTTGATCCCGTAACATGGCATTTGTAAAATTATTGGCACAGATAATAAGATGAAAGAAACAGTATTCTGTTTATCAGATTAAGTCTATTCGCCTTGATAATGTTGCAAAGTTTTTATCCCAATCATTTAACGATTATTGTTAGTTTGCCTCGCACCCGGTGACAACATGACTCGATTTGGGTTATAGTAGATTGGATGACAAAATCGGCCCATTTTCTTCCCATTAAGGTTACCCATTCGGTGGAGGACTATGCTAAGTTGTACTTGAGAAAGTAGTAAAGTTGCATGGAGTGCCTTTGTCCATTATTTCCGTGCGTAGTACCCAATTCACTTCTCAGTTTTGGAAGTCTTTCTAAAAGGGTCTTGGTACTTGTGTAAAGCTTAGTACGACCTTTTATCCCCAAATCGATGGGCAAGAGGAGAGAACTATCCAAACGTTGGAAGATATGTTGAGGGCCTGTGTGATTGATTTTAAGGGTAATTGGAATGACCATTTGCTAGTGATTAAGTTTGCATATAAAAATAGCTATCACTCGAGTATTGGTATGGCTCCATTTGAGGCATTATATGGTAGGAGGTGTAGATCTCCAATAGGATGGTTTGACGTTGGTGAAGGCACCCTAGTAGGTCCCAAGTTGGTACATGAGGCCATGGAAAAATTTGGACTTATTTGAGAAAGGTTGAAAACGGCTCAAAGTCAACATAAGTCATATGTCGATGTAAGAAGAAGAGATCTTGAGTTTGATGTTCATGATTGGGTTTACTTAAAAATTTCACCCATGAAGGGTGTAGTGAGATTTGGTAAGAAAGGGAAGCTTAGTTCTTAATATGTAGACCCATATTAGATTTTGAGATGTGTTGGTAAGGTTGCTTATGAGCTAGATTTGTCAAATGAGTTGGCATCAGTGCATCCAGTTTTCCATGTCTCTATGTTGAAGAAATGTGTTGGCGATCCAACATCCATAGTTCCCTTAGAAGGTTTGGGAGTTAAGGAGAATATTTCTTATGAAGAAGTTCCGATTTAGATTTTAGACCGGCAAGTCAAGAAGTTGAGAAATAAAGAAGTAGCTCATGTGAAGGTGTTGTGGAGGAATCAGTTAGTTGAGGGTGCCACTTGGGAGGCCGGGCCGATATGATGTCCCGAAATCCTCATTTCTTTCCTTCTACTCCTACTCTAGCTTGAGGTAATGAGTTCCTCATGGTTTGATCTTTGTTTTGGAGTCATGTGTCTTATATGTTTCCATGATTTCCTTACTATGCATGATTTATGAAATGTTTAAGTTTTGAGAAATTGAGTTTATTTGATTGACTCCTACATGTTTATGTGCACATGAGTATGAATTGCATGTATACTACATGATATGATGATGTGAGCATGTTTTTAGCTTGAAGTTGATGTTTCCTCCTTGGATGTTAGCTTGGAGTTAATGTTTCCTCCTCAGATATGTGTATTGCATGCATAATGGATTGTTAGATTTAGTTCCACTCCTCTTGTGATGTTTTGAGTACGTCTTAGCTTGGAATTGACAATTCCTCCTTGCTTATACACATTTATTTGAAGTTGCATTGATGGTTGGATTGTTAGTTCTCCTTCTACTCTTTTCGTACTAGCTTGAATCTTATTCGAGGATGAATGATCCAAAGGGGGAGATATTGTAACACTCCAGATCCAAAAGAATGTAGTATAGCACTTTTAAGAATTTGTGGCCGCCAAACCATAGGGGCAACCCACGGCCCGTGGATGGGACCACGGACTGTAGGTGTGGGGTTAAAAAAAGGGATGAAACCACAGCCCAAAAAAATGGACCGTTGGTAGGACCACTGTACCTGGTCGAGGGCCCGTTGTCCAGACCCCTGCCCCCCCAAATCTTGTTTCTAATCTAAGTCGATTGCTATGCAGGACGGACCGTCAGTTAGTCCATGGTCCGTCGACTAGGGTCTGTGAATGGTGATTCGAAAATTATGTTCAGGGGCAGGTGGATCTTTTCCTAATTATTTTATCTCTATACTACGTCGGTTTACCCTTCACTAAGACCCCTATATAGGCTTTTTAACCCCCAAATTTCCCAATAGAAATCACTCTCAAAATCACCAAAAGAAATCAAGTTCATTCTCTTCCAAGGATATTTCTCCCTCTAGATGCTTAAAGAAGAAGATTCAACCTAAGGTCTCCAAGTCAAGTCTCAATTCCTCCATTGAATATTAGAAATTGGCTTTGAGGTATGATAGTTTTCATCCATGGATTCGCCACTGTCGAACACCATTAAGGCATTCACCTCACCTTCTATAGCATCCTCCTCCTCCTCATCGTCCATTGCCCCATCAGCAACAACCTCGTCATTATCTAGAGGCTCCAAAAAGGCACGACCAGTCTTACACAAAAATGCTGCACTCTCAGACAAAGGATATCGTTCTGCCATTATTTCCATCTCAGCATCAGTAATCGGACGTCCACCGATCCGCAATTGCAAATCAGCCATCCCAAACATCCTAGCCATGAGAATATTGTCACAGACTTGCCTCTCCTGAACAGACAGAACCGGTCCATGGGATGTGTCAAGTGCCTTAGTCATCGTCACATCAACAAGCTTACCCGTCAGATCCTAGTGAAAATCAATGGTTAGATCACTAGACTCCTCCTCTATACCCTGAGCCCTCAAATAACGTACACTTGTGTGTAATCAAACCCGAATTTCGTAAACTATGTGGGTAATGCGCAAAGGGGTGGAGTGCAACAAAATTATGGTAACACTTACAACCCTAATTGGAAGAACCATCCTAACTTCTCATGGGGTGGTAACCAAAACCAAAATCAAGCGCAAGGGGTTAACCAATACCGTTCTCAAGGGGCTGGGCAACAATACTTCAATTCTAACCAAGGCCCAAATCATAGTGCACCAAAAGGGAGAGATGACTAATGAAGAGCTACTCCAAAAGCTCATGACTGAAATGGGGACCAAACTAAATGCTAGAATAGATAAGCAGGATGAAACCATTAGAAACATCCAAATGTCCCAAATGAGTTTAGAGGAACAAGTTGCGCAAGTGGCTAATTCTTTGAACTTGCGCCCCCAAGGTGGGCTTCCCGGTGATACTGAGCCCAACACAAAGCAATTGCATGCGGTAAGTACTAGAAGTGGGTTACAATTAGAGGAAATAGCTCCAAAGAAGAGAGATACTGAGGTAAGTAACAAAGAAAAGAAGGTGGAAGAGGTAGTAAAAAGCTCCAATGTTAAGGTACCTCTTCCTCAAAAGAAATTACCACCTCCATTTCCACAAAGGCTAAAAAAGAAGAATGAAGATGAATGCTTTGGTAAGTTTCTCTCTCTCCTTAAACAAGTTCACATTAATCTACCTTTGGTTGACATTTTGCATGGTATCCCCAAGTATGCTAAGTATGTGAAGGACATTGTGGCTAGCAATAGGAGGCTCACAAAGTATGAAACTGTAGCACTTACTAAGGAGTGCAACTCAAGGATCCAAAACAGGCTGCCCAAAAAGTTAAAAGATCCGGGTAGTTTTACTGTGCAAATTACAATTGGGCAAAGTGTTCATGCCCGGGAGTTGTGTGATTTGGGGGAAAGTATAAATTTGATACCCTTATCTTTGTATCTAAAGCTTAGGTTGGGTAGTCCAAAACGAACCACTGTTATTCTCCAGCTTGCTGATAAATACATTGCTAGGCCAGAGGGGGTGGTAGAAGATGTGTTAGTGCAAGTAGGTTCATTGATTTTTTGGGTAGATTTTGTGGTCTTAGACTTTGAACCCGATCCTGAAGTTCCATTCATTTTGGGACATCCTTTCTTGGCCACGGGTAAGGTATTGATTGATGTAACAGCTAGTCAACTAACTATGAGGGCACATGATAAGGTTGAGGTATTTGATGTTTACCGCGCTATAAAATTGCCTTTTATTTATGAAGAGTTGTCTACTATTACTGTGGTTGATCTCATAGTAGACTCACAAGTAGTTGTGCCCGAAGATCCTTTAGAAATAGTGTTAGTGGGTCATGAGATAGAAGGAGATACTGAAGCTCAAGAGATTGAATCATGCTGAAATCTAGCACTAGTCGACACTCGTAGGACTCAAGTGGAGTCACTAGATCACGAGTTGGGGCTCCCACCAAAGCCATCAATAATAGAAAACCCTAAGTTGGAACTAAAAACTCTGCTGACTTACCTAAGGTATGCTTATTTTGGTACTAATGAAACTTTGCCTGTTATACTCTCTGCAGAATTGTCTGATTTACAGGTTATGCGGCATTGAGGATCTTAAAGCGAAGGAGGAAAGTAATTGGATGGCAGATGGTTGATATTCATGGGATTAGTCCGGCGTTATGCATGCACATAATCTACATGGAAGAGGATCACAAACCAAGTGCTCAACATCAATGTCCCTTAAATCCTTTGATGAAAAAAGTGGTAAGAAAGGAAGTAATCAAGTGGCTAGATGCTAGAAATGTGTACCTAATCTCTGATAGTAAGTGGGTAAGTCCGGTACAATGTGTTCCCAAGATGGGATGTATGACAGTGGTAAGGAATGGAAAGAATGAATTGATTCCTAGTAGAATAGTGATCGGGTAGAGAATTTGCATGGATTACCAAAAATTAAATGATGCTACCCGGAAAGATCACTTCCCCGTACCCTTCATTGATGAAATGCTTGACCAACTAGCAGGGCAGGAGTACTATTGTTTCTTAGATGGATATTTCGGTTACAACCAGATCTTGATTGCACCCGAGGATCAGGGAAAGACCACGTTCACTTGTCTTTATGACACATATGCTTTCAAGCGCATGCCATTCAGACTTTGCAATGCACCGGCGACTTTTCAAAGGTGTATGATGTCCATTTTTCATGATATGGTGGAAGACTTTGTTGAGGTGTTCATGGATGATTTTTCCGTCTTTGGGAAGTCTTTTGAGGTATGTCTCCGAAATCTTGATAAAGTACTTGCTAGATTTGAAGACACTAACTTAGTTCTAAACTGGGAAAAGTGTCATTTTTTGGTAAGAGAGGGGATAGTGTTGGGACACAAGGTGTCTAAATCTGGTTTGGAGGTTGATAAAGCTAAGATAGAAGTTATTGAGAATTGCCCCCTCACATTTCTATAAAAGGTGTGCGTAGTTTTCTTGGTCATGCAAGTTTTTACAGGCAATTCATCAAGGGTTTTTCCAAGATTACCAGACCTATGTGCAATTTTTTGGAGAAGGATGTGAAGTTTGACTTTGATGAGATGTGCTTGAAAGCTTTTGAGATGTTGAAGAGGAACTTATTTGAAGATCCTATCTTAATTGCTCCTGATTGGGGACTACCATTTGAACTCATGTGTGATGAAAGCGACGTAGCAGTGGGTGTAGTGTTGGGACAAAGAAAGAATAAAGTGTTCCACTCGATCTATTATGCAAGGAAGACCCTTGACTCTACACAAGCTAATTACATAGTGACTGAGAAGGAGATGCTGGCTCTAGTGTTCTCCTTTGACAAGTTCAGATCGTATTTGGTAGGTACTAAAGTGATTGTTTTTACTGACCATGGAGCTATTAGGTACCTATTCAACAAGAAGGATGCTAAACCAAGACTGATTTGATGGATATTACTTCTCCAAGAATTTGACCTTTAGATGAAAGACAGGAAAGGTACTGAAAATCATATAGTAGATCACTTATCTAGGTTGGAGAATTTTTCCCATGTGAATGAAGGTGAGAAAATTCGGGAAGAGTTTCCAGATGAACAATTGATGGCATTAGATAGCTCTCAAGTTCCATGGTATGCAGACATTGTGAATTTGATAGTAAGTGGATAGTATCCTCCGGGTGCAACCACTTAACAAAAGAAAAAGCTTAATCATGATGCTAAGTTCTATATCTGGGATGAAACGTTCTTGTTCAAACAAGGTGTGGACCGGGTAGTGAGAAGATGCATTCCAGAGTATGAGGTTCACAAAGTGCTTGGAAATTGTCATGCTAGCCCATATGGAGGCCACCATGGAGGAGAGCACACTACTTATAAGGCACTACAATCTGGTTTCTTTTGGCCCTCATTATTTAAAGATTCTATTGCTTTTGTGAAGGGTTGTGATAAATGCCAAAGGTTGGGTACTATTTCAAGAAGACATGAGATGCCGCTAAGTAACATTTTTGAGGTAGAAATATTTGATGTGTGGGGTATTGACTTCATGGGTCCATTACCACCATCTAGTGGAAACCAATACATTCTTGTGGCTGTGGATTATGTTAGTAAATGGGTTGAGGTGGTCACTCTTCCTTCCAATGATTCAAGGATGGTGATAAAGTTCATAAAGAAGCACATCTTCACTCGCTTTGGCACTCCAAGGGCAATTATAAGTGATGAAGGTAAGTATTTCATTAACCATCTTGTTAAGAATCTTCTTGCTAAGTATGGTATTCGTTATAAGGTTTCTACAACTTACCATCCTCAAACGAGTGGCCAAGTGGAGGTTTCAAATAGAGAGGTGAAGCAAATTTTGCAGAAAATGGTGAATGCGCAAAGAAAAGATTAGTCTAAGAAACTAGATGATGCGTTGTGGGGATATAGGACTGAGTATAAGACACCAATAGGGACTTCTCCCTATCACATAGTATTTGGGAAAGCATGTCACCTTCTAGCGGAATTAGAACATCAAGCATATTAGGCAATTAAAAGGCTGAACTTAGACCCCGAGCTAGCCGGCAAAAAGAGATTGAATCACCTGCATGAACTTGAGGAGTTTAGGCTCCACGCTTATGAGAATGCCAAGCTATACAAAGAAAAGACAAAGAGGTGGCATGGAAAGCACATAGTAGCTCGTACATTTAATCCGGGAGATAAGGTACTACTCTTTAAATCTAGACTAAGGTTATTCCTTGAAAAACTAAGGTCGAAGTGGAGTGGTCCTTTTGAAGTGGTCAGAATGACACAACACGGGGTTGTTGAACTTAAAGGTAAGACTGGCCTTACGTTCTTGCTCAATGGGCAAAGGGTGAAACACTATTTCGGTGAGGATTTGGATCGTGATCGGGAAGCTCTTGAGCTAAATGATGAATGATCCAAGTTGCGTCGTGCATCGACGTTAAATCAAGCTCTACATCGGAGGCAACCTATGAACAATATGTTAGATAGGTTTTTCGTCTTTGAATTCTTGAAATGTTTTAGTAGCTTAGTCTCAATTTTTTTAATATAGGTTAGTTTTAGCTAGATAGGATTTTTTATTATTTGTAACTTAGCTTGTAATAGTAAAAAAAAATAAAAAAAAAAAAAAATATATAGAATACTTGAAGCCAGGCGCACTGGCATGAAAGTTCTACGTCGAAGTTGGGGTGCGCCACTGTCGCATCGCCCCTCTAGCGCACCAGAAGGCTAGCATACTGGTAGGCGCGCCGCCCCACGCCTATAAGATCCACGTTGCTTTTCAGGTGCTAAGCTGGCACCTCGCGCCCGCAACGCGCCATGCCTCAGTTTTTTATTCGGGTTTTAACCCGAATTTCGCCCAACCCACTACTAATAAACCCCCCTAAACCCCACACTCTTCCCCTAGTCCCACGTTTTCAAACCCAATTTCTCTCCATATTCTCTCTTCCCCAACTCTTCTTCTTCTATAACCTCTTCTCCTTCCTCCATTAAAACTCCAATTTCCTTCATTAAACTCATAACTAAACCTTTCCCTTTCCATCGTCCACTTATAAAACCAAACACCCACTCCACCCACTTCCTTCTCACACCAAATATACCTTTCTCAAAAAAAAAAATTCTCTTTCCCACCTTAACCCGACCCCCCCTTATTTTCTTCTAATTTTTCTTATTTTGTTCTTTGTTCTTTTTTCTCTTTTCTTCTTATCAGGTTTCCATGGCTCCTAAAGCAAAGAATGTGGCGGGTTCTAACTGGGTCCGCTAATAGGGAACCAGCCAAAAGTTCAGGAAAAAGGCGGTGAAAGAGTATGGGTTGTTGTGGTTTGACTGCCAGTGGGAGCCTAAATACATGGGAGATGAGTATGTCGACAAGATAAGGTTGCAAACTCAATTTCCAGCTATATATAGGGTTGTTCTGGAGTTCAGATTGGAATTTATTTTCGATCATCCGGGTGATTGTAATCTGACTTTGGTACGTGAGTTTTATGCTAATTGGCTCACAAAAACACAAATTAAACATGTGCCTATTAGAGGCAAGGATGTGAGATTTTCGGCCTGTGTTTTGAATGAGTTGTTGGGCACCCCGAACTGTGGCGCCGATGAGTTTAATAGATTGAAAGAGACCCCTCCGTACAGAGATATTAGGCATACATTGTGTGGGGTTGAGTCCACTGCTAGGTGGGGGCGTAGCAAGGACACCGGGAGGCATAACACCCTCTATTTTGCGAATTTCAATTTGGTTGCTAGGGTATGGTTGAAGATTGTTTGTAGTGTGTTGCTTTCTGTGAAACATTTGTCTGTGGTAACGAGGGATAGAGTAGTGCTAGTGTACATGCTGATGAAGGGAATGCCCATTAATGTTGGGGTGATCCTGAGGCAGCACATGATGAAATTCAGGAAAAATATGCGGTGGCAGTTTTATTATGGGGTGTTGATTACCCGTTATCTGAGGGCCCAGGGTATAGAGGAGGAGGCATGTAATCTAACCATTGCTTTTCACCCAGATCTGACGGGTAAGCTAGTTGATATGACGATGACTAAGGCACTTAACACATCCCATGGACCGGCTCTGTCTGCTCAAGAGAGGCAAGCTCGTGACGATAGTGTCATGGCTAGGATGTTTGGGATGGCTGAGTTGCAATTGCGGATCGGTGGACGTCTGATTACTGAAGTTGAGATGGAAATAATGGCAGAACACTATCCTTTGTTTGAGAGACCAACTTTTTTGTGTAAGACTGGTCATGCCTTTTTGAAGCCTCTAGATGATGACGAGGCTACGGCTGATGAGGCAATGGATGATGATGAGGAGGATGATGTTGTAGAGAGTGAGGCGAATGCCTTAATGGTGTTCGACGGTGGCGTTGACGATGCCTAGAGGCCCCAGGGAGTTTTCCTAACCTTATACTTTGTTTTATTTGCGCACTAAG